TGTGGACTTTATTTTCAGAAAACTTTAAGATTTATAAGAAACCTAAAAGCTGGTTGTTTTGGAGAGAAAAGCTGGAAATCTGGGTTGGGAGGAAGATTAATTTTATTTTATACTCTTCCTCTTAAAATTTTTTGCTGCCTCAAGATTTTAAATAGTTTAAAATGTTAATTACAAATGGATGCTCACATTCGACATACACACACAAAAAAGTTAATTACAAAGATTAAGAAGGACATGCAAGGGAGGGGGGATAGTAGAGGATAGGAAAGGCAGCAGAATACAACAGACACTAGTATGGCAATATGTAAATCAGTGGATGTGTAATCGATGTGATTCTGCAATCTGTATACGGGGTAAAAATGGGAGTTCATAACCCACTTGAATCAAAATGTGAAATATGATATATCAAGAACTATGTAATGTTTTGAACAACCAACAATAAAAATTAAAAAAAAAAGGACATGCAAAATGTTGAGTCAATGTTGTTTAAAAGGAAGAAAGCCATAGCAGTCCACCTGCCCAGCTAGATCAATCTATCGATCTCTATCTATCTATCTATCTATCTATCTATTGTTACTAGGGATCGAACAGAGGGTGTTTAACCACTGAATCACATCCCCATTAATATTAAATATTGAGATGGGAATCTCACTAAACTGCTAAAGCTGGCCTCAAACTTGCAGTCCTCCTGCCTCAGCTTCTTGAGTTGCTGGGATTACAGATGTGTGCCACCATGCCCAGCAGAGTCATTTATTTTTAAAAGCATTGTTACCCATCACTTTCTGCTAGGATCTGTTAGGATTTAAAAAAAAAAAAAAAAAATTTTTTTTTTTAGTCATTAATGGACCTTTGATTTTATTTATTTATATGTGGTGCTAAGAATTGAACCCAGTGCCTCACACATGCTAGGCAATGCTCTACCACTGAGCCACAACCCCAGCCCTGTTAGGAATTTAAAGTCCTATAAAACAACAGTGGACCTACCTTCAAGAAGCTTAACAAAAGACTATCAAGGCAGTTGTGAGATGTGACATTCAAGAAGGGTAAACTAAATGCTACAGAAACTTAAAAGGGCAGGTAAAAGTTAGAAGCCACTAAGAAGGTGGTAGCTCATTTGAACTGAAACTTGAAGGCTGGCTAAATTTTGGATAAAAATAAGGGAAGCTGGGTGTGATGGCATCCTAGTTACTTGGGATGCTAAGGTAAAAGGATTCCAAATTCAAGCTTCAGCAACTTGGCAAGACACTGTCTCAAAATAAAAATAAAAAGAGCTGGGGGACCTATTCAGTGGTAGCATACCCTTGGGTTCAATCCCCAGTACCAAAAGTAAATAAATAAACAGACAAACAAACTAACTCTTTAAATTAATTTTAAAAATAAGATATGGCAGTAAAAGATTTCAAGATAAGCCAGATGCAATGGTGCATGCCTATAGTCCCAGCAACCTGGGATACTGAGGTAGGAGGATCACAAGTTGAAGGCCAGCTTCAAAAATTAGTAAGCACTTAGCAAGACCCTGTCTCAAAAAACAAAAAATAAAAAAAGGTCTGGGAATGTAGCTCAGTGGTAAAATGCCCCTGGGTTCAATCCCTAGTACCCCCCAAAAATGTTTTTTTTTCAAGAAGAGTAAATAATATAGACTAGATGGAAAAATCAAAGTATACAGGTGAAAGAAAATAAGAATAACCAGGTAGACTGGGGCCAGATCTTCAAAAGTAGACTCTGAAATGAACTTTAGGTAACTGGAGGTCTCTAAACAGGTCTCTAAACACACAAGCACAGAGCAACTAATTTTACTATTACAGGAAAATTAATATGGAAGCTACTTGCTGAATGGACTAGAATGAGAAAAAGTAAGAGTTTAGAGGATTAGTTACGAGATTGGTTAGGAGCCTCCTGCAATAGACTGGGCAAAAAGTAAGACCTTTTTAAAGGTTTAAACATGGAAAACCACGGACAGCTCAAACATTAACTTTGCAGGGTGAAAAAAAAAACAACAACTAAGCGTAAATCCTAGGTCTAGATTTCACAGCTGTTATCAGCATTTATTTTTAATTTTTATTTATTTATTTTTTTGGTACTGGGGACTGAACCCAGTGGTGCTTTACCACTAAGCTACATCCCCAGACCATTATATTTCTTTTATGTTGAGATAGGTCTAAAGGTCTCACTAAATTGCTTAAGTTGACCAACTTGCAATCCTCCTGTCTCAGCCTCCCAAATCACTGGGATTACAGGCATACAGTACCACGCCCCATATCAAGGTTTATTTTAACAGCATAACTGAGATACAATTTGTATACCATACAATTCACCCACTAAAAAATGTGTGATTCGATGGTTTTCAGCATATTCACAAAGTCATGCATCTATCACTGCATTACCACAACCGTGAGAACATCTTCATTATTCCAAAAAGAAAACCCATCCCTCCAAATAGGCATTCATTTAATCTACTTTCTGTCTCCATAGATTTGCTTGTCCTGGGCATTTCATATATATGGAGTCATATAGTGTGAATGTGGCCCTTTGTGACTGGTTTCTTAGCATAATAACATTTTCAATATTTTGTGCTACTGTAAAATATATCAGTATTTCATTTTTTCTTACTGCCTTTATTTATCCATCTATCAGTCCCTGGACATTTGAACTGTACAGTGTTTGCTTAGCATGCATGAGGTTCTGGGTCTAATCCTCAAAACCAACAATAAAAAAAAAAAGGACGGGAAAAAGGAAATAGTGGTTCCATTCTCTTTGCTTACCACTGTCTAGTCAAACTAAAGGTTATTTAGTTTTCTACCCTCACCTATTATATCATCAACCTAATAAAACATTTTCTCTAAAAATATGATTCTGATTCTCTTATCTCTTTTTTAAAATTTTTTAGTTGTCAATGGATCTTTTATTTATTTATTTTATATGTAGTGTCAAGGACTGAACCCAGGGTCTCACACATGCCCGGCAAGCGCTCTGCCACTGAGCCACTACTGCAACCCCTGAATCTCTTATCTCTTCAAAAATTCATTCAACATTTCTCTCAGATTCTTTTTTTTTTTTTCCTTTCTGCAGTACTGTGGAATGAACATAGGACCTAGCACATGCTAGGCAAGTACTCTACCACTGAGCTATAATCCTCCCTTTTCTAAAATTTTTATTTTGGGCCATGGATCTTTAAGTCACCCAGACTGACTTTGAACTTATCATTCTCCTGACTCAGCCTCTCCAATAGCTGACACTACAGATATGTTTCACCACACCCGGATGGGGGGGGGGGCAGGGCGTGGTACTGGAGAATTAACTCAGGGTATTCTATCACTGAGCCACACCCCTTCTTTATTTTTGAGACAGAGTGCTGCTAAATTGTTGACTAGCCTCAACTAACTTCCCATCCTGCCTCAACCTCCCCAGCCATTGGGATTATAGGCATGCACCACCACACCCAACAAGTTGCATCTTTTGCTAACAGAACTCAGAGGCTCCCTCTTCTTAATATATATACTTTACTCAATAAATGCTGAATGACTATTGTCTTTTGTTATGTTTCTATTTACAAAAAGTTTCAAAGAATTACTTTACAACCCTACATCTTTTTCCTTTCATTTTGTCTGTCTTTATCTTACACTCCATCTGGAAAGTCTGGTGTTAACCTTAAGTTAACAGCACAAATTAGAAATTTTATTATCCCTACACTCTCCCTCCTACCTAGTTTCATGCTATTAAGATTGGCATTACCATCACTAATCTTTTCTCATAAATGCTAATGTAAAGCAAAATGTACATCTTGGAAATTTTTATACAACACACTTTACTACCCATTTTTATACAAATGTATTTAAATGCCATTGTTTTTAACCATTTCCAAATCCTTACCATGTTAAGCATGTTAATCCTGAAAAACAAAATGACAACCTTAAAATTAACTAATTTTTTTAAAACTATAATTTCTTACTTCTTCTTTACACACTCGCATAGCGTCTGCTATATATGAAACACTAGCCCAGTTACTGATTTGGATTTTTCATTTTATACAAGAACTTAAAACTCCCAGATTTTTGCCAAGCAATTTCTGTTCTTTGTTCAACAAGTTGGAGTAAGAACTACTAATCAGAAGTTACTCCCTTTCCACTACTAGACCATAATTACTTTGAACCCAAAGATGCCAAACAATGATGGTTCTTCCTGTTTGGTGGGTTCATTCCTTCCCTAACATGCCTGGCCTAGGTTTGGAGTAATTTTTATGAAAGCCAAGGATGATAGGGCAGAACATCAATAACCAACAAGTAGCAAAGTTCTAACAACAGAGAGTCGCCCCAGAGTGTAAAAGGAAAGGTGAAGGTGCATCTTTGCCCAGGTACGCAAGCCGCTGTCACGGGTGGAGATTTAATTATTCCAATGGTCCCTTCTCAAAAACTTATCAAGTAGGCTCCTCTAGGAATCGTGGAAGAAGGATCTGTTTAACAGTGAATTTTTGTTTTTGTTTTTAAAGGACATTGGAAAGTACAGTAATAAAAATCCTCCTTGATACTAACACAAATAAGGAGAATAAGCATTCTCTGGAAACTCAAGTGCGGGCAAGAGGGGACGGGATAGAAAAACAGAGCCCAGATTGTCCCCAGTGGAGAGACATCCCCGACTGGTAGGGCCCCGGCGCAGGCGGAGGAGAGGGGAGCGCGGCCGAGTACGCCGGCAGCCGCTGGAGTGAAGCGGCCCCGGGCTGCTTAAGCAGGGCGGGGCTTGGGGGCAAGACCCCGCCAAGGTAAGTGGGTGCCTAAGACCAGCGCGAAGGCCGCGCAGTGTCGCACCCTGCCCATTCCGGGTGCAAACCAGAAACCGGGCTGGGCATGAAAGCAGGAAGAAGTCCGAAGCCGGACGCAGGTCCGAAGCAACAAGTGCCAGTGGGGGCTCCAAACTAGGCTGCTGGGCGGAGGCAGGAAAAAAAGGCCCGGCGCGACGGCGTCCTGGCCTTCCCTTTCTCTCAGCCCCTACCCGATCCCACTCACTCTGCCACACGACGCTCTTTAGCCCCCTCTCGGTCACCAGTGGCGCCATCTTCCCAATGCCGCAGAGCTGCACCGACGCCTCACACTCGCAACCCACTTTAGCCCAGTAAGAGGCGCCCGGATGGCCCCGCCCCTCACTGCGGGGAAAGCCTCGCCCCTCCACGGACCGCGCCCTCCGGTGACATCAGGCGCGTCAGCGCGGGGATTCTCGCCCCTGCCTGGACGGAGGCTGCGCAGTGCACTGTGGGCTGAATGTCAGTAGGCTGTCGCGCGCCTCCTTGCGGAAGGCCGCTTTAGCTCAAGATTGGGTTCGGACGACGGATATCAAGGATGAGCAAGATTGTGAGCCAACTTAATCTACAAAATGATGAATGCGAACATACATGAAGAAGGTGGAACGCTTCGCCTTACAAAAGGATTCTTCATTTTGCAAAGCGATCCATAATAGACGTCACTCAGTAGCCAGCTCAACTACAAATGGATAATTCACTCTCACCTCAAAGGTTTTTCTTTTTTTTTTTAATTCACATTTCAAGGACATAAGAGGTTGTGTGGAACTATGAGGTATTCTCCAGTGAGCCCAGAATTATGCTAGGCTTTCAGGAAACTCAAAGGAATGAGAGACCTGTTTATCTGAAGACTTTATAATCTAATCAAGGATCACAATTTCTGTCATGCAGTAGATAGTCAAAAGTTGGTTGAAAACTGAATGCCTTAAGGATACAATATAAGTAAATGAAACAATAAAACAGTCATTTATTCAATGAATTTGTGCAAAAGATGTATGGGAGGGGGCTCTCAATGCTTTAGGACCCAAAATTGTTGTTGAAAGCTGATTAACAGAGATGATTTGACCTTAGACTTTTAAGATTTTTAAATATGTATGTGTGTATGTGTGTGTGTATATATATATATATATATATATATATATATATATATATATTGCTGATGGACCTTTATTTTATTTATATATGGTATTGAGAATCGAACCCAACGACTCACACATGCCAGGCAAGTGCTCTACCACTGAGCCATAACCCCAGTCTCAACTTTGAAGATTTATTTACTGAGATAGTTCTTTGAGAACTTGAAATCAAAGTAAGCAAATATGTACTAGATCAATTAAATTGCTGAGAGCCCTATCATATAACCATTGTATACATTGGCAGATAGTAGGCCTTCCTAGAGGAATAAGCAAAGAAACAAGAGTTTTAAACATTCAAGTTGATTGCATAGTGAAATGATTAGGGAAGACTACTGCTAATAATGTCCAGTATTTAGGAAGTGCTCACTATATGCCATGCACCATGCAAAATGGATTATCTCATTGATCCTCAAAACAATCCTTACAGATAAAAAAAGAAAAACAGGCTTAATGCAGTTAAATTAATTGCCAAGGACGCACATCCAGTGCTAGGGGGAATCAGAAAGCAATAGAGCAGTTTGTGGGATAACTTATAATTTTGGAGAGAGAAAATGAGAATGAAAAATAAAAACAGCCATAATATGGATTCAGGTGCATGACATGAACCTATGACATGAATTTTTTTTCTGTTTGAGGCTTATATGAGAATAGAAGGTGGAGCTCCGGCCTCTCTTAAACCTACTTTAAATAGATTCAGTTCAGAATTTTATATAAATGCACATATTATTTGCCCCTCCCTTTTCAATTTTAAATCAGATTCTGCTAGTATAAGAGGGTGAAAACCAAAACCATAAGAAAATTTCAGGACAATGCAGACTGACTCTTCTAAAGTGGAGCTCTTTGCCCTGAGAGGTCAAAACAAGAGGAAAGTATGACGCTTCCATCTCTCAATTTTGAGGAAAATAACTTAAGTGTCAGGGGAAAATACACACACACACACACACACACACACAAATTCGTTGGTGTTGGAAGTTTGACTTGGACACAAGGGATAAAGTTGTGGTTATGCTCCTAAAGGCCAGATTCCAGGATGGAAGTGTGAAATAATGAAGGAAGAATAGGCTTTAGCTATATCTGACTTTTTCTTTTTTAGTGATACTGGGGTTTGAACCCAGGGCCATATGCATGTGAGGCAAGCACTCTACCAACTGAGCTATATCCCCAGCTCTGGCTCTGCTTTTTACTAGCAATGTGACTTCAAACACCTCAGTTACATTGCACTTGTGTGCTAAATTATCTCAAACAGCATAACAACCCAGCAAGATGACAATCTTTGTTGCCATTTCACAAATGAGGAAACTGAAGATAAGAAAGGTTAACTACATCATGTAAAATATTAAGATGAGCTAGAATCTGGATCTGGCTCCAAGACAATCGCCCTTTCTCTCATTGCTTATCCTCCCATGCTCCTCCAATTTTGCATAACCTCCTTAGGTGGTTTCTTTAAATCTCCCTTAGTTGGTTTTCCTGGGCAGATCAAAAAATGAATTTTGTTTCCCTGAACATGACACTGCAAAATGAAGGTAAAATCCACTAACATTGGCCAAAGATGAAAAACTGCTTTATATAATTCACAGAGCAAAAGCTGCTTTATATAATTCACAGAGTAATGAAATAAGTTTGTAAAAATCACTTAGGAGCACATAATCTGGGCCATATACATGTCAACTAGTTTTTTTTTAATATTTATTTTTTAGTTTTAGGTGGTGCTGAGGATCGAACCCAGTGCCTCATGCATGCTAGGCAAGCACTCTACCACTGAGCCACAATCCCAGCCCCAACAACTATATATATATATATATATGGATATATATAGATATAGATATAGATATAGATGGTTTTATATATATATGGTTATATATATATATATATATGGTTATATATATGGTTATATATATATGGTTTTATATATATATGGTTATATATGGTTTTATATATATGGTTATATATGGTTTTATATATATGGTTATATATATATATGGTTATATATATGGTTTTATATATATATATGGTTATATACATATGGTTATATATATATGGATATATATATATGGTTATATATATATGGTTATATATATATATGGTTATATATATATTTGGTTATATATATGATTATATATATACATTTATATATATGGTTATATATATGGATATATATATATATGTGTGTATATATATGTTGTAGTTGGACACAATACATTTATTTTATTTATTTATTTTTATGTGGTACTAAGGATCGAATCCTGGACCTCACACATGCTAGATGAGCATTCTACCACTGAGCCACAACCTCAGCCCCCACATGTCAACTAGTTTTATCTTTGCTCAGTGTGGACCACATTGTCTTCCATGGAATTCTGATCAAGGTAGCTCAACATTAGATGGCCATTTAATTTTCTGTGCTCTGATATTTGCAGGATATGGGACAGAGATTCTGGCCTTCTTTGGCCTTTGCCTGGGCTCTTTGGCTACTTCAGTCAGCCAAGAATACAACACCATTCAGAAGGCATACCTTGCTAGTGACTGGCTCAGTACATGGTTTCAGTGGGATCTGGACCACGAAGCCCCAGTTCTATACCATCAGGGTTGCACTCACAGGGTATGGGCCTTCTCCAAATCCTCCAGATCTCACCAGTCTTTCATCACAGGGCACAGGCCTCTATTTTACCAGCCTTCCATTGCTAAAATTTTGCTTCAAGGAAGAGCTTACAATGGCAAACTTCTGACGGCTCCTAAACCTGGAGTTGGGAAAATAGCTCAATGATAGATTGTTTGCCTAGCATGCCTAAAGCCTGGGGTTTGATTCCCAGCACTGAAAAACTAATAATTCCCAAACCCGGCTAGTCAGAATCACTTGATGAACTTGTTAAAAATATGGAATCCCAGGCCTTAAAGGTATGGATTCCCAGGCCACATCCCAGATATAGTGAATTTGAACTTCCAGGGGTGATTCCCAGGAATCTATATGAGTAATGAGCTCTTGGACCTAGCCCAACCCACCTCCTGTTCACTCACTGGTGTTTAGGAATAAAAGTGAACTAAACTCAATCCTCCTCTATGTGTGCTCTTCGATGCATCAAACTCCACTTTTAGGGGTCATTGCCTTTGACTTGTTTCCCTTTAATGTGCAAATAAACACTCTAGGAAAGATTTCTTGTCGGGGCTGCCACATAGCAACTGAGAGCATCCCTTAGCCCTGAGTGATGAGAATGTGGAGATGTCGCAAGCCAGCCATGGGCTTTGTGTGTGTGTGTGAACTATGAGCAGTGAGAACACAAAGTGGACTGAACTGACATCACCTCTCTGTTTGGGTAGTCCTCACTCTGGTCTTTTCGCTGGCTCTGCCTATGATGCCCACACAGCTCATAAGATGGGCATGGCCTTCCTAGATGTCAGCCAATCTGCTGACAGCAGATGTCAAGAAGCTAGACTCAACTCCCTGACCCCTTTGCCCTTTTGGGGATAGAATGTTCCATGGAAACTTGTGTGTTCCCTATATATAAGAATAAAGAATTCCAGTGGTTCTCTCTCTTTCCAAGGACACTTAAGGTCGAAGAGCCATCTCCGAATTACTGAAAAGATATTTCTGTGTGGTTGCATGCTTTCTTTGTCATTTTCTTGAGTTACTGGAATAGTCAGATTTTGTGAACCCAGCATTAGGTCACCAGCTAGAATAGTGACAATCTCTTATCATTGACACATTATATATCTCTAACTAGTCTTTCAGAAAAAGCATGTCACCTTCTCCCTTGGTTTTGATAGGTTAATTCAGAAAGGGAAAGGAGAATAGGGCACAGTGGTGCGCGCCTGTAATCCCAGCAGCTCTGGATGCTGAGGCAGGAGGATCAAGAGTTCAAAGCCAGCCTCAGCAATGGCAACGGGCTAAGGAACTCAGTGAGACCTTGTCTCTAAAAAAAAAAAAAATACAAAATAGGGCTGGGGATGTGGCTCGGTGGCGGAGCACCCTTAGTTCAATCCCTGGTACCCCTCCTGCCCCCAACCCCCCCAACCCCCACCCCCCCCCACCAAAACAAAAAGAAAGGGAAAGGAGACATAGAAAAGGAAGTTTACCTTTCTTCAGTGCTAACTCCATACTCCCAACTCCCTCTGGGCAGTGGTAGTTTTTGTGTGTGTTTATAGGGTGGGGAGGGGAGGTTACAGGGGATTGGATTCAGGGACACTCAACCACTAAGACACATACTCAGCTCTTTTTTGTATTTCATTTAAAGACAGGTTCTCACCGAGTT